CCCCCCCCCCCCCCCCCCCCCCACACACACACACACACACACACGCATACGTATAAATCTATGGGGTGAATTTGCATTTGCAGATTTGTAACTGCAGATAAATTCTATTTTGATCAAAAAGCACACAATTTGTAGACAGTCAATGTAGCATTTCATAAATTCCTACTTTGGAAATAAAACCAGTCTGGCTTCAAGTTGACACACAGCCAGATTCTAAACAAGGTCTCACACCTAAAAGCTTTGTCTGACCTGGGATGTCACCTCTGGTACACTGAGGAAACTGATAAAACCTTAAGCTATCTCAGAGTAGTGACTTGAAAGAAATTTGGGAATTTGCATATTATTCCTTTCTAGCTGTTTAAAGATTTAACAGCCATCTTTGATTTGTTCAACACCGCATCAGTTCTACAACTCATTGATCTTTTGCTTATAAATTCTGTGTCTGATACCAGCTCTCTCACTGACACCTGAAGAAGGAATGAGACTTTGAAAGCTTGTGTCTTCAAATAAACCTGTCGGACTATAACCTGGTGTTGTGTGATTTTTGACCTTGTCCACCCCAGTCCAACACTGGCACCTCCACATCAGTTCGAGGAAGGGTCACCGGACCCAAAATGTTAACTCTGATTTTTCCTTCACAGATGCTGCCAGACCTGCTGAGCTTTTCCAGCAACTTCTGTTTTTGTACTTCCACATCAGGTTGTTGTGAAAGCTCCCACAGCCACTACTTCAATCAAGAACCAGGGAATTCTCCACCCAAAATATGCTCACCACCACCTTGTCAGGAGCAATTAGGGACAGGAAATCAATGGGGACCTAGTCAGTGACACCCATGAGCGAATTTTAAAAAAGTCACCTTGCTATGAGTCACCATGCTGCCTGTGGGTTCTTGTTGTACGAGTTAGCTGCACAAGACTCCTTCCATTTCAGAATGCCTCCCACTGCCTGTGAAGTGCATGAGGAATGTGCAAAGGTGCTACTGAAATGTACGTCTTTCTTTCTCCTAATGAGTGTGATAATTTTGAGTGTGGGCCAGTCTCTACAATATAGATTAACTGTACAAACAAGTGGTAAAATGATAACTGAGCTGATAGTGTAATGGGCTGCTGGCTAATGTTCTGCCTATGTGTCGTGTCAGGTTTCAGTCTGTATGAGAGTCACCTTCTGGAGGGGCGTGAATAGATTTATTTTAAACAATCTGTAAAGCTTCTCACTGAGCTTTGATGTTCTAATGACATTCCGTACTGTCTCGACAGCACAGCTACTCTGCATCTTTCTGTGTGTCTTTTGTTACTTAGTTCCCCCATTTTCATGGAAAATCCTGACTGTTTTTAGGGGGAGCATTCTATGGTGGCCTCTCACCATCTAATTATTGCTTAAATTCTATGAGTGAAAGAAAGTGGTGTATTTACATAGCGCCTTTTGTGACCTCAGGATGCCCTGAAGTTTTACAGCCTATGAAAGTGATGTTTTTTTTAGGACAGTGTCCAAGTTACTGTAGGATACACCGCAGCCAATTTGCACATAGCAAGTCCTGCACAAACAGCCACGATGCAGTAGCTGGGTATAATCTGTATTTTCTGATGGTGTTTGGAGGACTCATATTGGCAAGGCGACTATTGAGAAGCCCTCTCCCAAACATGGGCCTTGACACAATTTGAAAGATGGCATTTCTGACAGTGCAGCACTCTTAAGCACGTCACTGGGCTAAACCCAAATCTCACGACTTCTCAACCTTCCCAACTCCATCAGGTTTCCTATCAGCTAAACAATGTTCATACAACTACAAATAGATGTGAAGGAAGTAACGATTAAGGCAAACTTTAAATGCTTTTTTGATACAGTCACAAGAACTGATAAGCAAGCTTGGCAAATGTT